GAAACGTAGAATAGCTTTACTTCCAATAGTTCTTGCTAAATGCTCCAACAAGCGACTGACCATCCGAGCTAAGAAATCGCCGAAAATCGAACTGATACTGACTGAGATCCCACAATCCCCATCCAGGCCCGGGTTGTTCGAAAGGTAGATAACGCTATCCACCGGATAGCGATTTATCCGGTGGATAACGTTATCCAGCCTTTCAAAAACGGGAGCCAGACTGTCAACATTGTCTTGTAATAGCTGCCAGAAGCGTCACGGTAACAGCTTTAATCCCACTGAGGCTTGCCTTTGGCGATAGGATTCTTAATGGGTCCAGTTGGAATGAACTTGGGTTGAACAAGAACTTTATCCTCTACGGCCTTTTCTGTGAGAAATAATGACATTTACTATTAGATGTAATGCAGATAAAGCATAAACGAGTTTCTATTGAGTATTACACAGGTAAACAACAGTCCATGGACACAACTACTTGAGTTACTCAAAGAGCACAAGTTAATCACTCGTCTTCCATTCGTTGTATGTTCAGTGTTTTATTCAGAAAAGAAATGCGCGCCAAACTCTGAAGAACAGTACTTTTCGCTCACTCGGACAGGCCGCAGATAGTTAAATTACAATGTCCTGTCGCCTACAACTCAGGCAAGAACTTTCCTCTTTTGAAGAGTTGCATTCAGCAACACAAAATGGACTCTACGAAAGCAATTATTCGCCTTATTATCGGTAGACAACGTTGGATATTCACCTCCACAATAACATGGGTGAGTAATAATCAAATATGTGACTTCCCATTTTCTAAATATCCTGTTCTTCTTCCGAGTCAAAGATCATACTGACCTGGTTCGTCAACCTCTGAAACAACCAATCGGTCCCAGATCAGCACGGCCGTGTCCAGACCCCCAGTTGACACAAGCACGCGGTCGTCACAAGTCCACCGAACATTGGTCACGTGTGAGGAGTGACCTTTGTACTGTCGGCCACGTGCCCCTCGATGCTACAAAAAACAACGATGGAATTATTGAAAAGAAAACGACCTCCTGAAGGAAGCGACCCTACCCCAATAACAATAAAACTTCATGGTCGTTAGCAAAGTGGCCATTTAAACGTAATTTGACTTGCTATGAGACACAATTGGGGCAACAGACACAAGAAGCTGAATTAAAATGATGAGATCTAATTCATTCTTCTGAGTCGCTTCGATCTTTTCTTGCTGAGAAAGATCGACGCCACTTTGCTCGCAGGGTATGAAGTCACTAGGTCAAGGAGAACATGAATCGGGAATTTTATCAAATTTGAATCTTTACAAAAACTTACCGACACAGGATACTCAAAAAGCTTCACCAAACCAAAATCATCACCGCTGGCCAGTAAACTGCCATCCTTAGAACGGCAGGTCGCGTTCACGTCCGTGACGTCACTTCCTGGCGGGAAAACACCTTTGACAGTTGGACCCAGGACACAAGTAAAGGTGGACCACTGTAACCTCTCCACATCCGGGACACTGATGGTCTTACGATTCCCAGAAGGCACCTCGTAAAACAAGTGTTCACGTGCTCCAGAGTTAGTCTGGATCAGTTTACCTAAAAAGATCAAGCAAGTTAGAGCGTACGCACACAAACATTAATGCTCCGTCCACACTACGCCGGAGAAAGGTGAAAACGGTGTTTTCACTCGGAGAAATAAACGCAACAATCACCGGTCATTTTGGATTTGTGTTTGAGGAAAAATAAGGCAGGGGAATCACATAATTATCGTGACATCATCTTTTTCAAAAAGCTCCGTTTTAAAAATGTTTTCCCGTCCACACTGAAACGCAAAGCCGGTGTTTCCAAATTCCTCCGGTTTGAAGAGCATTTTCGAAAAGCTCCGTTTTCGTG